CACTCCAGTCTGGGCGACAGTGAGGCTCCAACTCAAAAAAAAAAAAAAAAAGAGAAAAATGCTGTTTCGCTAATCATCAGAGAAATGCAAATCAAAACTACAATGAGATAACACCTCACACTGGTCAGGATGGTGATCATTAAAAAGTCAAAAAAACAACAGGTGTTGGTGAGGCTGCAGAGAAAAGGAAATGCTTCTATACTGCTGGTGAGAATGTAAGCTAGTTTAGCTTTTGTGGAAAGTAGTGTGGCATTTTCTCAAAGAACTAAAAATTGAGCTACTATATGATCCAGCAATCTCATTGCTGGGAATATACTGAGGAACATAAATTGCTGTACCAAAAAGACATCTATACACATATGTTCATTGCCGCACTAATCACAATAGTGAAAACATGGAAACAACCCAGAAGCCCATCAAAAGTAGACTGGATAAAGAGAAGGTGGTCAATATACATGATAGATGCTGTGCAGCCATAAGGAAGAACAAAATAATGTCCTTTGCTGCAACATGGATGCAGCTGGAGACCATCATTCTAAGTGAACTACCACAGAAACGAAAAACAGAATGTTGCATGTTCTCACTCCTAAGCAGACCCTAAACATTGGGCACGCAAGCACATACAAGAACAACTGACGCGACACTGCTGATGGTAGGGGGGATTAAGGGGTACACAACCACCCATTGGGTACCATATCCACTACTAGGGGGAGAGAGGGCTCACTAGAAGCCCAAGCTTCATCTGTGCACAGTTTACTTATGTAGCAAATCCCCACATGTGCCCCACAACTCTAAAATAATTTTATTTAGAAAAGAATTCAGTTTCTTCAACCCATATCTAATTTCTCTTTGTGGACTCTATTCCCACTCTTTTGTGGACATAAGATGGCTAACAGCAACTTCCATGATATATCTTTTCAAGTAAAAATCAAGGTCTGTGTTCTGGCATTTCAAGAAAAAGTTCTAGGCTGGGTGTGGTGGCTCACGCCTGTAATCCCAACACTTAAAGGAGGCCAAAGTGAGGGATTTGCCTAAGCCCAGGGGTTCAAGACCAGCCTGGGCAACCTGGTGAGACTTCGTCTCTACAATAAATTAAAAAATTAGGTGAGTGTAGTGGTGTTCACCTGTAGTCCCAGCTACTTGGAAGGCTGAAGCAGAAGGATCACCTGAACCCAGCAGGTCAAGGCTGTGGAGGCCATAAGCATACCACTGCACTCCAGCCTGGGTGACAGAGACTCCATTTTTTAAAAAAACATTTTGATATTTAATCTAATAGAATCACTTTAGGCCTTGGATCCATTCCTGAACCAATCATTGTTTCAGAGTTTGGAGGGCTAATGTTAATTGACTTACACTATTAAAGGCCTACCCCTGGAACTAAGGGTGGGATTAATCCCACCTAAACCAAATTTGGGAATTTAAAATCCACTTTAAGATGGCATTACAGGGTAAAGGATAGATGTAGGAGAAGTCACCATACATGTCCACTACTACTATCCATAGTAGTTAGAGACAAAGACTTAGGGTCAACTGCATAGAGATGGTAACTAAAGCCATAGATAGGTGAGATCACTCAGGGTGAGTGTGTTGCATGAGAAGAGACCCCAGAGTAGAACCCCAAGAAACACCAAAACCTAAAGATTGGATAGAGGAAAAGTAGCCTCCAGAAGAAATGTAAGAGAGAAAAACTTAGAGATAAGATAAAAGCCTACTGAGTATGTTTCAGAGAAGTTATTCTTTTTTTCTTTTTCCTTCTTTATTTTAAAGATGTGGGGTACAATTCAGGGTTAGGTATACAAATGTGCAATATGCAGGTACACTTTATGATGAAGTGTGTCCCTCCCTCCCCTGGCAGTTTCCCTCAACTGCCAATGCCACCCCTCTTCTGCTAGCAGTTGCCCACTACTGCCAATCCCTTTCTTATAGTGTTATGATAATTGTTCAAGGTCCGCTTATGAGTGAGAACATATGGTACTCTGTTCTTTGTTTTTGTGATAGATCACTGAGTATGGTAGACTCAAAATCCATCCAAGTTGCTTCGAAGTCCATATGTTTGTCCTTTATGGCTGCATAATATGCCATTGTGTATATGTACCACATTTGTTTTTATCCACTCCGCTTCAATAGGTAGCATGGTTGATTCCATGTTTTTGCTACTGTGAATAGAGTCGCAACAAACATGCATGTGCAGCTATCTTTTTGGTAGAATGACTCAAATTCCTCTGAGTATATTCCCAATAGGGGGATTGCTGGGTCATATGAAAGGTCAGTTTTTAGTTCTTTCAGAAATCACCACACTGTCTTCGTAAGAGGCTGCACTAGTCTGCATTCCCACCAACAGTGTAGAAGCATTCCTTTTTCTCTGCATCCTCACCAGCATCTGTTGTTTGTTTTATTAATGATGGCCATTCTTACTGGGGTTAGGTGGTATCTCAGTGTGGTTTTGATTTGCATTTCTTTGATGATTAGTGAGGCTGAGCACTTCAGAGACATCATTCTTTATTGAAGGCTTTCAGGAAAAGAGTACTAGTCTGAGACATCATTAGCTAGGAGAAGCTGGGTAAGATGAGAACTTAAAATACCCCTTAAGTTAAAGCATAAAGGAGGCTGCTGGTAGCCTTAAGAGGAACAGTGTGAATGTAGAACCAAACTAAAGCCAGACTGTGTTGTGGGGGCGGTGAGGGGGGTGAGAGGAATGTGAGAAAGCACTCTGTTTAGGAAACATGGATGCCAGTGGATGAAGAATGATGGGTTAGCTAGAAGAACATATGGCGTCAAGGAAGGATTTAAGATATAAAATGATTAAACATTTTTAAACGTGGGTTAGAAAGCAAGAGTAGAGCAGAAGGGATTGGAGATAACTTTTATCTCAAAAGTCGGGGCAGCACACCCTTTATATAATCACATATGCTATATTCACAACATGAAATAAAGAGGCTACTCATACCTTATAAATCAGGATGAACGATACCTTGAAGAAATGAAAAGAAAACCTACTCCAGTTAAAAATTTTAAATGAAAAAAACATCATGCCTTTTGGGTACTTATGACCTAAGAGTAGTATTTTTTTAAAGGAGGTATGATTTAAAAATATAATTTCAACTGCTTAAAAATGAAGTTTAGTTAGTTAAATGCTTAAGTAAAAGGGTCTAGTTTCATCATTAATGTTTTTTTAGACCACAGACCACCTTGAAAATTATGAGACCCTTTCCCCAAAAGGAGATAAACTTCTGAGGCCTGACCATAGATATAAGGTTAAGTGTGCAACCTTTTCCTAGGATTTGCCGACAGAATTTCTTTTTGGACCTCTCATGCCTGCCAGCCAAAGGCTTCTTCTGCTTTCCTTCCTCTTAATCATAATTGAAGTTATGTCTTCCATTCCTAAGCCTTGAATGCCAGTTCCAGTTCCTTCCTCCCTCCCACCTTCCCCTGTGCTCCAGTCTATAAAACGAAAATATTGGATTCAAATACTCTTACCTTCATATCCTGGCACCATCACTTTCTAAATTACATCACTCTTGCCAAGTATTTACCTCTCTGAGCTAGCTATATTTTCATTATCAGCAATATGAAACCATCAAATGTTTATTTTCTCCAATCCCACCAGGCCCAATCCAAGAATCAAGGATCATTCTTTCTCACAGGAATATGCCACTTGATCAGAAACTATCAAATAATTCATTCTCACTCTCTCCCATCTCTCTTGAATTATAAATTCCTTGAAGGCAGAATATAGGCCTCCTATTTCATTCCTTACTCCCCACTGCTTATCACATTTCTGCTTTTAAAACTACTATAAGAGTTGCTGACTCAACTGAGTATTTAGAAAATAGGCCTACGTTTTGTTCTAGTCTCCATAATTAACATTCTCTTCTACATTTCCTCATAAATTTTCCATGTTTCATCTCTAGATGACACCACAAAATCACAAATAGCTTTTTTAGTGACTTTAGGCTTTGTCAAATCATTTATAAGAATATTTTCATAGGAACTCCTAGTTAAAAATAAATACCATATAGGCTACTTAGCCTAAAAATAATTCAGATTTTATAATTTTCCTTAATTCTGAGGCAGCTTTGAAATTTGACTCTTATTTGGCGGATAATATTAAGTAAAACTATCAGAGTTAAAATCTCTCCAATAGTTATACAACTGTATTCTGTTCACTCTACAGTATTGCTGCTTTTTAGAATGAAATCATTGAGATGTTATAAGTTACATTACCAAAAAAAAAATCTTACAGATAATATTAGCTAAAGAAAGTTGTTTGGGGATGAGGTAATGTATTAAATACTTAGTGTATGATTGATTGTACATATTATACATTCCCTACTTCAGCAAACCTTGAGTATAGAGTTTCTTTCAGTCAGACCTGAAATTAGGTCTCTCACTCATGTGATATCAAGTAAGTTCTGTTAAAAATAGCTCGTAATATAAGCATTTACATTTTTAGCACTTCAACAACTTCATCTCTTTTTTTGTTTCTTTCTCTAACCTGCTTCAGAGAAAGATTTACTACTTTTAATCCATACAAGAGATAAACTTTGAAGGAAAAGAAAATCAAAGGAAGTTACATAGTATCCTGGTGTTCTCTTTATGAACAGCTAAAAATGATTTTAGTTTACTGTCTTCTAATATCAGCTATTTGGCTATTATTTTATAATATAAATACATATGTTTAAGAAGCATATGGAAGAATGTTTCTTTCTTAACTGATTAAGAGCAAATGACAAGACTGTCAATAAAATTTCAACACAGAGACATATCACAAAAACTACAGAATTTTTAATTTTTATATAATTTATATAATTTCAGGCAGACATTCTGCTTTATGGACTCTGACTTCACATTCATGTCTTCAAAGTATGAAAATTCAGCCACAGCTGTTATGTCATGCCATTTTTATTATAATGTCTGGAGAAAAAATAACAATAGATTATTTAATATACAAGCAGGTACCCAACAGTTATTAATAACCAGTCTTGGAGGAGAGAGCACTTGATGCCCAGGTCACTCTAGTTTCACCCCATCAAGCCCTAGGAAACAAATCCAGAGGCCTTTTAAAAAGGAATAGCTGGCTTACCCTTCCCAGAACATGCTGAGGACAGTTATCTTTGGAGAAACAGAGACCTGCTCAATAACATTCCAGTGGAAAGCCCAGCAAAGACTGCTGTCAGTGGCCACAGGGCCTCTAACCCCACCCAGCCTTGTAACCTGGAGGAATCTATCCAGTTGGGCTTCTCATCTCAGTTTTCCTCAGCCACCACTCAGGCAGAAGCCCTTCATATTCTCCCACCCAGCCTTCCCTTGCATTCCCCTATTTGTTGTTGCAGGTGAACCCAGGTTCCATCTCAAATACAGGATTCTGGGGCCCTTTCCCTTACATGTTATACCAGGAGATCCACAGCAGAGCCAGTTTTACCTAGCTCACATTGCCAATTTCATACTATGATATACCTCATCCACTGGCCTAATCAGTCAATATCAATGGCTCCGAAATTTTGTTGCACCTTAGAGTTAACATAGATTCAAAAAATTCTAATATCTAGATCATACTCTATACCAATTAGATGGTCTACCAATCTAGACCATACTCTATACCAATTAGTCTTAGGGTGAGGGACCCAAATATCAGACAACCAGGAAAGTATGAAGTAAAACTAAATTTAAGAACTAGACACTTGTATCTTTGCGATTCAAAGTGTGGTTGAAGGATTAGTAACATTAGCATCACCTAAAGAAATTGTTAGAAATGTAGAATCTTGGGCTCTATTCTAAACACTCTGAATCAAAATCTCCATTTAACAAGATCGTCAAGCAATCACAAGTAGTACATTAAAGTCTGGGAAGTGATTGCTATGCTATACTATCCTCTACTCCTCCCTGCTGTTATCTTTAATCATATCAGACATTGTCTGCTCACTTGTTAAAGACTTTGGAAACTGGTTCACAGCCATCCTCCCCATACCAATTTCTGGGTAATTTCACAAATGGGTAATTAGTCCATCCAGATACCTAGTCTCACTACCCTTCAACCCTTCAATCCGCATATGCACATCCAAGGCCATGATCTATATTTTCCCTTGACATCCCCTAGAATGCATCATTTCTGAAATTTTACAATACTAGAAATGCGAGACTCATCCTCTAGCTATTGTTCTTTCTCATTAACCTGTATCAGTACCTAGACAGGCAAACAAAATGTTTAATTTAGATTGGTTCTCCCAAATCCTATAGAAGTCCTAAATCAGATCACTAAGGCAATTACCTAGGAATTTATATTATTTATAAATTCCTCTGGTGATCTGCACACCATACTTTGAGATACACTCATTCAGATCCTTATTTTCTCAACTTTGTTCATCAAGACTTTTGCAAAACTCCCACCTGGCCTTTCTGCTTTCAGGGCCATTTCTTCTCAAACCACCTCTTGCCAGAATGATCAAACAAAAGGTAAATTTGACCAAGATAAAGTAAAAAATCAGCATAGCAAAGGAGGCTCTCTACTATCTTCCCCCTGATTACTACTCAAGCCTCAGTTCTCAAAGAGTTCAATCTCCACTATAGCCAAACATAACTAATTTCAGTTCATTAACTACATGAGGATGCTTGACGACTCTTTGCCTTTATTTATGCTGGTCCCTCTGCCTAGAACACTATGATCATGATGTCCCTGTGGACCTCATATCATCCTGTAGACAATTTCACACCTTCCTGTATACTCCCACAGGGTCCCACATATATCTCTATTAAAGCACACATACCTTCATTGGACTTGTTTTACATATCTGACTTCCTCTATGAGATTATAAGTCTTATGAAGAAAACAACTATGGCTTTATCTCAATATCACCAGGAACTAACTGAATCTAGCATATGACATCCAGACTCAATATGAGTTTGCTGAACAAGTGAACCAGCCAACTATAAAACCTCATCTTTACATTCTATAACTACATGACATTAAAACAACAGGCGTAAAAGTCCTCCATGTTGATTAGTTTGATTTCTTTTTCCCAAGGAACTGACTAGTATACTTTATCTCTGCATTTGTACAAGATCAATGTGCTTGTGTCAAAGACTATACACACTTGCCTGATATATTCTTTACATAAGATGACATAACCAAACTTATCATCAAATACAATAGCCACTCAGCATATTTTAGGCTTTTTGCAATTTTATAAAAACCAAGAAAAATTTTTCAAAAGGAAAATATAGTAAGCTAGACTTGAAGAATTAACCTAATCTATATAAACAATTATTGCATAATGAGTGATTACCATGTTAGATACTTTATATAGATTATCTCTAATCCTCACAACAATTCTTTGAGGTAAGAACTACTATTTTACCAATTTTATTTATAGATAGGAGGCTAAAATTCAAAAGTTTAAGGAATTCACTCATGTGACAGAGTTAGGAATTGAACTTAGGAATGTCATATTCTTAAGCGATTGTACTACTATCTCTCAGATACTTGAACTGATATGTTTCCACCTTATTTGCCATATATCTGTGTGCTATTTCTGCCTGTTATTATCACCTAAAACTCAGACTTCTCATTGAAAATAACTATGTATCCAGTTAAAGGCTGTAATTCAACTATTAGCTTGAGATATGAATTTAAAACACAATTTATCATATTTTCTGGAGCTCAAAATAAAATAGAAAATTTTAAATTTTACTATAACAATAGCTACAGGTTTTGTCTGATTTATCAAAAGTTATCAATAGACTGGAAGTCTTCCCTTACCCCTCAATGCAAAGTTAAAAGTGTCTTCTCCTGGATTCTTACAGTACTTACTTCTAGTTCTGATTCTATCAGGAATTCGCTGTGTGAACTTGGGCAAGTCACTAAATGTAGCCATGTCATTTTTGTTATTCATAAAACGAATAAAATAGACTAATACATGGTTCTCAAATTTTACTGCTTATCAGAATCACTTTGCTCATCAAATTGCAGAATCCTATGCCACATCTCTAGAGATTACAGTTTACCAAGTAGGTAGTGATTCTGATACAGGTAGTCAGAGGACCACATGTGGAAAAACCTTGGACTAGATGTTTTCTACAGCCTTCTCTAGCTGGCTGTCACTATTCTCAGACTACTTACCTACATCACCTCCTCTATCACATCGCTTTGGTTCACTTTCCCCCTTTTTTTTCTTCAATCAGCACAGTGCCAGTTATTAATGAACAAACAGCATACTGAACATGGCCTTAGACCATCAAAAGCAAGCTTCACTCTGTAGTCCTGATTAGATTACTGCCAAACTAGCTAAAAATTAAATGGCAGAACTAAAAATAGGATACTGCATGTTTAAAATAACATGATCACTAGTAAGGTTGGTGCTTTGCTATTTTTACTAAAGGGAAGACAGAGACAAGTGGCCAAAGTTTGAAAGGGAATAACTTAAATGAGGAAGCTGCTGTTAAGAGGAGAGCCAGAGTGGAGAAAGAGGCCAGGAGGCGGCACCATTAGTTCAACATTTATGGGGGTTAGTGGAAGGTATCTCTTCAAATTAAACTAAAAACTTTGGTCTGAACACCCAAAAGAGCCCCCAGACACATTTTGGTTTGGATTTATTCATATACTTAAATCCAGAACTTTGATAACATCTGATATCAGAAACTAATATGACAGACCAAAAAGATCAAACTAAGAGTTTTTCTGGCCGAGTGCGGTGGCTCAAGCCTATAATCCCAGCACTTTGGGAGGCTGAGGTGAGAGGACTGCCTGAGCCCAGGGGTTTGAGACCAGCCTGGGAAACTTGGTGAGATCTTGTCTCTACAATATATATATATATATATATATATATATATATATATATATATATATATATATAAAATTAGCCAGGCATGGTAGTGCGTGACTGTAGTTACGGCTACTTAGAAAGCTGAGGTAGAAGGATTGCCTGAGCCCAGCAGGTCGACGCTGGGATGGCCATGAGCGAGCCACTGCACTCCAGCCTAAGTGACAGAGTAAGACTCTGACTCAAAAAATTAAAAAAGAATTTTTCTACTTTTTAAACTTTTTATTGAAATATAACAAATATGCATAAAACTGTATATATATGACTTGTTAGGTTTTCACAAATACAGCACATCTGAGGAACAGTGCCAAGATAATGAAGCAGAACATTACTAGCACCCTAGAATTCTCCTGGATAACCCCTTCCAATTAATATTGCCTCTCCAACAAGGGCATCTACTATCATGATTTCCATTATAGTTTTGTCTGGTTTTATACTACATACAAATAATATTAAATGTATTCTACTGTGTCTGGTGCCTTATGTTAAATTCGTCACTGTGTATGTTATTGTGTATATAACACACACTTTACAGTAATATACATATAACTATGTATTGTTGATTCTCACTCTACATAGCACTCCAATGAATGAATATACCATAGTTGATCCATTTTACTTGATGAGAATTTGGATAGTTTTCCATTTGGGACTATCATGAATAGTGCTGGTATAAATATTCTAGTATATATTTTTGATGAATATATATACATATTAAAGTTGTGTATATTACTAAAAGGGGAATTTCTGGGTCTCCAGGGGCCTTACACTTCAGTGAAATTTCTAGGGGCCCAGTGGTATGAGAAAACCCTGCTAAAATAAAGGATAAGGTTTTGCACCTGGTCTCTTCCATAACCAAAAAGAAAACACAATGCTAAGTGGGCATTTTTGGATTTTGAAATCAACAAATTCCTCATTTAGGTATGCCACTCCAGCCCACCTGACCTAAAAAGCTGTCATATTTGAAAAGAGTCCCAGAACAAGAGAAGGCTCTATAACAGGTCCGGGCTACTGTGCAGATGTTCTGACAATTGTGCCCATATGATCTAGCCAATCCAATGGTGCTTGAAATGTTAGTGACAGATAGAGAGGCTGTTT